AAGGGCCCCAAGTGACACCCTCAGCATGGAGGCTTTGTTCATCCCCTGCCGTGTGGTCAGCCAGCCCCCAACCACTGCCCCTGGTCCTAGAGGCCACGCTGGCCCTCAGCCTGCCAAGCGAGGGGCCCTGGCGTCTAACGGGTGCAGCCACAGTGGCCCCGTCAGGGAAGGAGGCTCGGGGAGGCGGTCACTGGCTGCAGGCTGCCCGCTGGGCGTGGTCCCAGGCTGGCTGGTCTCTTACGGGCACTGCAGCCTCAGGGTCCCAGCCCCGGAGCCAGCCCAGCTCACCCAACGTCCAGCTGAGGCTGCCTTCCACGGGCGTGGTGTGCTCATCGATGTCGCTCCCGTAGAGGCAGAGGCCCGCTTCCAGGCGCAGGCTGTCCCGGGCTGCCAGCCCTGCCAGCTTCACCTCGGGGTTTCCCAGCAGAGCTGTGGCCAGGCGGACCGCCCCCTCCACTGGCACTGAGATCTGCGTGGGACACCAGGGGGCCGTGGGTGTTGGCCGAGTCCACCGCTGCCCTGCCCCCACTCCCTGACCCACCTCCACACCATCCTCTCCTGTGTAGCCACAGCGGGTCACGCGGCAGCTGGGCACGCCAAACACCTCCATCACGGCACTGGTCATGAAGGGCACCTTCCTCAGGTCGTCCGCCACGCCGGCCTGGAGCACCTGGGCCGCAGTGGGGCCTGGGCCCAGGGAGCAGGTGACTAAGCGCCCAGGTCCCCGCACCCCCAAAGCTGGACGGCAGCCCTTGCCCGGGGGCCAGTTCCCAGCCGTGCCCTGAGCACCGTCTCCACTGCAGGTGGAAGAAGAGGCTCCTGCCCCGTAGCCCACTGAGCCCTGGGGCTGGCGGGGGGAGGGCATGCACCCAGCTTAGCGTATGCACTCAAGTCCCACACGGCCCCCCCACCACACACACACACACACACCCGCTGCAACCTCTGCTCCGCAGCCCAGGAAGCCAGGAGGCAAAGGTCACGCCAACCCCCGCTGGCTGCTCACCTTGCAGGGCGAGCAGGGCATTGTCCACCACCTCCAGGCCCACGTCGCTGCCCCTGCTCTGCAGCTCCCTGACCTTGTCCTGACGGGAAGACGGGAGCACCACGTCGGCTTCCAGGGCCGTTTCCCGGCACCGCCAAGCTCGGGAGAGTCGGCGGCTCTCACCTCACAAGGTCGTGTGAGTGGCAGGGGTGACCCACGCCCGGTCTGCGGGCTCTAACACCAGCTCCGGCCTCCATCCTCACCAGAGCGTGCCCACCTAGGGGCCGGCTCGGCTCCCCTCCCACCGCCCAGTGACACCTGGCATGCTCCAGGGAGGGCCCGCTCTGGCCTCTGCCCATTCCCTCAGAGGTACTGACTGAGGCCCTGGTCCCTGCCGGGTCTGCCCTGGGCAGCTCTGTCAACAAGGAAGATGGGGCACCTAGAACCCAGGGCTGTACCTGCATGAGGGCCAGGTCCTTGTCCCGGCAGCCAGCGTTGGACACCACGTACAGGTGTCCCTCCGAGGTGTTGGTCACAATCAAGTCATCCAAGATGCCCCCGGCCTCGTTGGTGAACAGCGACAGGGTCCCCTAGCACCAGAGTGGAGCCACTTTGCATCCGGGTCCAGAAGGCCAGTGTCAAGTGTGAGACACACCCGGGGGCCCACTCAGCCCCCACAAATTCATGAACCCTCA